TACACTATTCTAATATCATTTGCAAATTACAGAATTGGATTTGCTTTTCTAGAACGGGAGTTAGAACGTTTTAAAGATATGTGATTTTTATAATAAATTACTATGATGAATTTTTTATAATAAAATGATCGACAAAAATTGAACATAGTGTAAATTACATATAGTCCTGCACTATGATACTAAATCATTTGATGTGCAACACCCCAATACACTGATCAACCAATCATATTGCAGGATCAGATTAAGTTAAATATTCAAAATTTTCACTTTACGTTCTAACAATGAAAATTTCCTACAAGATTTTTGAAATAGACATCTCTTTATTATCGCTCTTCCCTAATCTTGCGGTAACTTTACTCGGGCCCTAAACTAATGTATAAACAAAGAAATAACGAACGAACGAAGAACGAAATCACTTAATCTACCCAATATGGTAAATACATATATATATTTTATTAAAGTTTTTTATATCGATGATTATAATTATACTAGTTGTTAAGAATTACCAGGTTAATTCGCCTTTCGATTCCCCCTATGGTAAGTGACTGAATCCACCGTGACTCATGGTTGGAGACTCATTGGGTGGAGGTTGAGTGGGTCCCTTATGGCCTTAGGATATTACTCAACTTTCTGAATGTGCACTGCTTTTTTTTCATTTTCCGACTATGATGGCAAAATAGGTTATTCTATTATTGATAATTTTAACGTTCAGTATCTAATCTATTATTTATTTTATTTCACCATTTATAGTCACACGGTTAAAGAAATAACGAGTATTGTCGGAGGCCATTTCTACCAACAACCAACAACCAAAAGAAAACAACACAACGTTACGCGAAGCGGAGGAGGAGCGGTGATTGATTTTGCAAGGTAAGGCGGCTTCGGGTAAGTTGTGCAATGGGACTTTCAATAATTTTATTATCTTTTATGACTTTATTAACGAATTAAACTTATTTACGAGATTTTTCTTATTATTAACTACTTATCATTATCTCTTTTGTAGAACAAAAGGCAACTCTATTTAACTAATCGAGGTAAGTACAAGATTAATTATTATATTTATCATCGTTATAATAATCAACATCACTTTTAGCTAATTGATTTCTTTAATTTTTAGATCTCGATTAAATTAATATTATTTTTAAGAGGTAACAGAGTCATACGATCCTCAGGGCCTGGTGCAGTTGCGGAGTCGTTACGTTTCGCCGGGAACGTTCACGTGATTTCGTGATCATGTGTGTTTGGCTAATTATACAACTAACTTTGAGATCAGGCTCAAACTTATGCTAGTCATTTCGAAATGGATGTATACCTTGTTAATTTCTTTCTAAGTGGTCATAAACCGCCTTCAGTACTTGATGATATTCTAGAAGAAATCATTATAATTAATGTTGAACACAATAGAGCACCTCCTACAGTATCTTTCTCAAAAGCATCAGACGTTTATTCTTTTGGAATAATTATGTGGGAAATTTCTTCAGGACTCAAATGAAATAACCAGTGCCGCAATAACAAAAGAAAACTTTGATTAACGGTGTCGAAGAATGTTTGTTGAACGTCGGTTATAATATAATTGGTGAAGGTTTGTGACCTCTGAATATCGATATGACTATAATTTGAAGAACGAAATCACTTAGTATGGTAAATACATGTATATATTTTATGAAAGTTTTATGTCAATAATTATAATATGCTACTGTAGTTGTTGAAAAATTACCTGGTTAATTCGCTCTCTCGATCTCTTTCATAGTAAGTGATGAATCTACCGTGACCTATGGTTGGAGACTCATTGGATCGAGGTTCGAGTGGGTTCTTTATTACTTGGGATTTTATACAACTTTCAGAATATGCATTGCTTTTTTTCATTTCTCGATCATGATGACAAAAAATAATTATTCTATTGATAATTTAACATTCAGTATCTAATCTATTATTTATTTTATTTCATCAATTATAGTCACTCGATTGAAAAATAACGAACGAAGTATTAATGGATTTTTTAATTTAATTCGTGAATTATCAAGATTTTCAAAAAATAACGAATAAACGTACGAACGAAATCACTTAAGTTGGCAAATATATCTTATTGGGTGGAGGTTGGAGAGGCTCCTTATGGCTTTGGAATTTTACTTAACTTTCCGAATGCACTGCTTTTTTCGACTATGATAATAAAAATCAATTATTCTATAATAATTTAATATTCAATAGTATTGGCGAAATTTTTGATGAGAAACATTGTAATTATTAATAATACTATAAATAAGGTTAATAATATTTTATTTTTTAATATTGATATTTTATTAAATATCTTTTGTTGTTTTCTGAAAAATTTATATACCGATGCTATCTTAAAAGATTTATAAATGAATTATAAGGGTCTTATGAGCATTTAATAAGCGATTTCTAAGAAGTTATAAGTATACAACTAATTAATCAAATCTAATTTAATTCAATATTGCAAAATATTAATTAATTAGTAATCACAGAATAATAAGCTTTAACATTATTTGTTGATTTAAGTGTTTCGGACATACAGTATTATATAATGGCATATTACAGTATTTTATTATTTGAATTAACGACTTTAAAAAGGGGTTTTGATGTTTTAAACTCTAAGTACTCACAGAAAATGCGCGTGTATAAATCCAGGGATGATAAATGACCTGGTCATTTGTAAATGACCAAATAATGACCGGGTCATTAGGTCATTTATATATTAAGTAATTTTATTGGTCAGATATCTAATATAAAAAATTATCTATCGATAATCGTAGCTACATATAAAAGTCAAAATCTTACTAAGTTAATCGATAATTGCGTCTTAAGTAAAGTTACCCAGGAGAACAAATTGCATATATTTAAAAGTTTTCATATAATTTTAATAAGTTATTTTTATGTTGACATGAATTTTTTTTATGTAAACGTAAAACATAAAAATACTTAATAAAATGTTATCAAAATTACATAAATCTTTTATGATATATGATATTTGTTCTCCTGAAAAACTTTACTTAAGACGCAATTATCTATTAACTTAGTAATATTTGACTTTTATATGTAACTACTTATATCGAACATATTTTATAAAAATTAATTTTGCCTAATACTGTAATCAATTTCGATTGGCTAAATGGCATTAGATTATCAATTCATATGTCATTTGGGTTTTGAAATGACAAATGAGTCATTTGGGTCATTTCAAATCATTTACCATCCCTGTCTCCGGAGGTGCAAAAACCAGTGACAATTACATGCCATATAGCCATATATTTGACGGATTACCATCTTGGCTTTATCATTCGTCACATAACATTCTGATAATATTTGTTCGTTTCCTCTTTAATCAAGTCATCTTTGTGATAGTATATAAAGTCAGGCCTACTGACATGAGGTTTTCGGCTTGAAAATACATAATCCGTTCCCATTAGTTCATATAAGACTGAATTAATGTTTGCGTTCACGGCTTCGCAAACATTTGCTTCACTATATAACTGACGATTATAGTGAAATTGTGGCTTTTCAAATATCGTTTTTTGTTGATCAAAGAGATACTCGTTAGCCTTTTCTAAAAAGTCTTCCCACAAAAGAACCTCCTTTGGTGGTTTACTATCTACTGATGTTGTATTTTTAATTTACAAACAAACGGAGAATATTTGAGGATCGATGGAATACAAGCAAGCGCGTTTTCTTGACAGAGAACTTAAAAATATGTAAAGAATAAACGACAAAAAAACCATAGAAAGTTTCTCACGTGATGATAGATACTGCATATCGGAATTAGCCTCGAGGTAGTCACATTATTATTAACTGTTTTTTCATTCTTTTTGAAGTGTCTATAATATTTACGCTTTTATCCTGCCACAGGTGAATTAATTCAAAATTTTATCATTCAAATCTTTTAAGCAAAAATATTTAGAATTAAACAAAGAATATAATCATATAATTTTTAATTCTATTACTAAAATATTTAAGACTATGGACAGTGTTACTATTGTAAATTGGGAGAGCGAGTAACAGTGCACGGTTTAGCTCCAATAGTTAACATGGTTAGGACGCGATGACATCTCACTTAACCAGGTAGGATTCAAGCATTAA